TCTTCTGCGGCTGCTGCACTTTAGAAGCAAGACATCCGGGTCTATCATAGTTTGTGAGCGGGCCATGTACCTTTGTCCCGGGTTGGTGTTCAGACGATTTGAAAGAGAACATCCGAACACACACAGACATCCAACAGGAGCGAGTGAAGCACTTACAATCAGCTCAAAGCTTCTACATGGATATAGCCAATAGAGTTGTATCAAGAAATATTGTGTGTAATGTCTACGCGTGTTCTATGGACCAAACTGGGATGTTAGAAATGTCGAGTGTAGTACAAAAGACGAATGGATATCTCACAATGCATGAAGACTATGCCCATGAGACAGTTAGTGACACATTGGGTCGTATATTGAAAGGAGACGAAATACTGAATACGAAGTATTGTTTCTCTATGGCAGTGAAGTGTAGTCGCGAGATTAAAGTGAAGTCTTGTGTTGGTAATGTGAACGCGATAGCATCCAAAGAAACATATGCCAATTTATTAACACTACCCGAGGAATTTGGAGTATCAGGGAGTTCGTTTACGACATCAGGAATCGATCAACACAGTTCGTTCTGTTTGTTGTTTGAGGTAGTGAACCCCGACACGAACCCACTTCCAGTTGGTCGCCAGGGTATTGTTCAGATCATAACAAGCTATAAAGACACTGTAGGAAGGACTTATACTCGAGTTACTACCATATGCAGACTCTTCTCTAATTTGTCACAAGAAGGGCTGTCAAAGATATCTGCCGGTTTTGATCAAGAGACGGCCGCTGTTGTCTTAGCGCGGTGCGCGAGTTATAAGGCGGATGCTGAGAGTGGACGTGACGCGATGAGATGGTTGGATAGAGCACTTTTGAGGACGTGTAACAAGTTTGGCCAGTTTAGAAAAGATGAGCCCGCGTCATTTACTTTAGGTCCGAATTTCTCGATATTGCCCCAGTTCATGTATCACTTGAGAAGAAGCCACTTCTTACAAGTCTTTAATTGCTCCCCGGATGAAACAAGAACATTCAGATGTGCTTTAATGAGAGAGAATGTAGTTAATTCCCTTACTATGATCCAACCCACGTTGGACTGTTACAAAGTCGGACAAGAAGCAAATCCCGTTTTACTCTCAATGCAATCAGTTGAATCAGACTCGATCTTATTACTCGACACATTCTTCTACTTGGTCGTTTTCAGAGGAGAAGCAGTTGTCGACTGGATGAAACAGAAATTGGAAGAAAAGGAGGAGTACGCCGGACTCAAATTGTTCTATCAGAAGCCAGAGGACGACGCACACGAGTTGGCTAAAGACCGAATCCCAGCCCCAAGAATTTATGTGTGCAATAGATACTCCGGAAATCAACGTTTCTTGATGACAGTCTTGGACCCAGCAGTGACACCAGGAGCAAGTCAAAAGGATATTATTGTCACAGAAGATGTCACCTTGGCAGTCTTTTTACAGCATTTGCGTCGTTTGTCTGTTAAAGGTGGGATTTAATGGACTGCTTTCTTTTATAATTTCTTACTAATAAGATAATAATAAGATAATAATATAATTATAACAAAGAACCATTTAATCAGTTTTTAATAATAAATTTTACTATAAAAATAGCTTTTATAAAATTTTTGTCAAACCAAAATAAATATAGAAATTATACAATTATAAGTATTTATAATAAATCAACTCACCTTGACTGGAGCCAGACATACAATGATCATCTCCAATGTCAATTGCAGTAACTAAGCTATTGTGAATATAGAGCTGTGTACCTACACCAAAATTGCCACCTTTTAAGTCATAAAAAGAGACTACATTACCTTCCCCAGCTAAGATCATCTTATTTGCACACTTAATAACATTAATACGACCAAATTTGATCTTGGTGTCAATCTTTATATTGTCTTTGCGACGATCAAACATCTCAAGCCACCCATCTTCCCCACCTATAACAAAATAATCATCAAAAGTGTCATATGCAGTTAACCGCTCGGGACGTTTACCAAGTTTGTATATCACAGTATCACTTCGATAATCGAAGACTTCAATGGTATTGTCTGCCATAACACCAGCTATTTGACTCTCCGAAATTTTGTTGTACATCTCCCCACAGATTTCAGTCTTGTGCTCCCATTTGGAGACCACTTCACCCCCACCAAAATCAAATCCACACACTTTGGAAGTGTCCCAACCGATCACCTCTTGTGAGCGGATAAAGATACTAGCCCCTGTGAATTTGGGAAATGAATATCTGTCGGCTGGGATTAAAAAGTTTCTGCCATATCGATAAATGTCTCCGCTTTTTGTCATCACATAAAACTTGGTAT